GATATTTTATTTATTTTATATGTGGAAATGTTCATCCTTGGAAAGGGTATATACTTTTTCGCGATCAGGTAATTTCATATATGTTCTTTTTACTGGATTTAAAGATTCACAAAATTTTCATGCATTTTCATGCAAATTTTTGTAATTTATGAGAAAAAAGCAGTGTACATGGCACGTTTTAAAGATTTCACAAACTCCCTATCCATGTGCACATCGACCTATTTTCACTTTAAAAAAGAAATCATAGAATTCTACGAATTAAGCATTGGTCACTCCCTTGACTTTCTCCATGTACACATTGATGTATTTATACATAGACATGTCTATGTTACTATACATAGACAAAGTCAAGAGAGTGTGAAATGCCGAGTTTGTACAATTTTTTTACTTTCTATTTTGGGTTTTTGTAGCTGCCATCTTGAAATTGGGCCTTCCTAGCCAATTGTCAATTTTCACCAAGTGGCACCCTTAAATATACAGTGGGTGATCGGTTAATGAACATAATCCGTTCCAAGATAATGTTCGCTATCCGAATTGTTCGTTAACCGGTCACCGATTTACCATGTATGTTAAGGGGAATTCGATTAATTCGTTCTGGAGATCCTAAAAATTAAATTTAAAAAAATGTCATGTACAAGTGTAATTTCTGTAGTAATAGTTGTATTTAGTGTACCAATATAGTACTTACATTTAGTCCTTTTCCTTTCTTTGGGCGTTAAAGAGCATGTCCAATGTCGATTGTTTTTCTCTGTCCTTCAGGACTTTCAGGAAATGATTGATAGCAATGTCATTGTAGAGATCAGCAACCCTATTGACATCAGCTTGGTTTGGGTGCCATTTTAAGACTGTTGCTCTGACATCCTCCCAGCTCTTCAAAAGATCTTTAATGGCAGATTGTCGACCTTGCTCCTCTTTCGTCTTCCTCTTTTTCAGAAGGAAACACATTTCGCCGAGTTTCTTGGTGTTCTTCATTCAAGATTTCTTGGAGTTCTGCCGTCAAGTCACCTTCATGTTTCATTGAGCTCTTCAATGTCATCCTCGTTCACCTCCAATTCCAGATCTCTCGCAATTGTTACAATTTCATCCATAATTTCAGGGCTGTCACCCTGATCACCTCCGTCTCCTTGAACGAGGGATGGACACAGCTTTCCCCAGGCAGAAACCAACTGTCGTTGAGCGATTTCTGACCACGCCTTTTCAATAAGACGAATAGCTTCGAGAATATCGAATTTTTCTATCTAAAACGTTTTTAAAGTCATTTGAGGAGAATTGGCATGCTTCAAAACATCGCTGAAACGGCGTACGTATGAACAATTTCTTGAAACCTGCAAATAAGTAAAGTCGTATTCGAGGTAAAAACTGCACTGTCAGCCAGGGAAAGTCTATCAGCAAATTATCTTCAAGGTCCTTTGGGTGCCCTGGTGCGTTGTCCAATAGCAGCAATGCTTTGAATGACAAGTCATTGGTATCAAGGTAATCCTTGATGCTCAGGGCACGAATTTCAAATAGCCACTCTTTGAAATGAACCTGCGTGACCCATGCCCTCTGATTCGATCTCCACATCACTGGCAGTTTTCTCTTGATTATGGAATTTTTTTGAATGCTTTAATATTCTGAGAGTTATAAACGAAAAGTGGTTTAAGCTTCATATCACCACTAGCGTTAACTCCCAAAAGTAACGTCAATTGGTCTTTTGTGGGTATATACCCAGAAATACTTTTCTCATCTTTCATGATGTAGGTACGGTTCAGCATGCGCTTCCAAAACAAACCAGTTTCATCACAATTAAATATTTATTGTGGACAATACCCTTCTTTTTCAATGACTTCTTGAATTTTGAGACGGAACCTCTCAGCTTCTTTATCTGCACTAGCAGACTCACCATGCATGACCACATGTTTAATGCCAGATCTCCTTTTTAACTTTGCAAACCAGCCAGTGGCAGCTTTGAATTATATATTTTCGGATGACAAACCTTTCAATTTTTCAAAAATGTCTCTAGCCTTCTCTTGAATGATGGCCATACTAGTTACATATCTTTTCATCTCCCGTTCATTTATCCAAACTAAAAGCAAACTCTCCAGTTTTTCATGGATGGCACTTCTTTGCTTCTCAGGTGTAATTTTCGTTACTCCTTCAGCGGCTTGAGTCTTCTTGATGATAGCTAGGATTGTGCCTACTGTAGACCTGTTCAAGCCGTACTGCCTAGCATTGTCAGTTAATTTTTGTCCACTCTCTATTTTAGTTATAATCTCTTGCTTGGTTTTTATGGTGAGCACAGTTCTTGACACTCCACTCTTTTTAGGTCCCATAATATTGCCAGATTTTCAGGTTTTTTTAATAAGGAGTTTAGAGAAGCACATACGAAAATCACAAGGGCAGAAACCAACTATGGTACACAATTGACAAAGCGTCGTCGCACACTACTGTACGTGTCGTACGGTGCTGCCTCACTGCTGCATAGTATGAATGATGACGTGTCAACGCACGCGCACATCCATTTTCAGGATGAATTGAGGACTGGTGTCGGGTACTCCGAGAGCTGAGAGGTTTTCATTAGAATTAGTTTTTGTTCGTTATCCGAATATTGTTCATTGTCCGAACACAAAAATCTGCCCTGAAAGTGTTCATTGTCCGAACTATTTGTTCACCGATCACCCACTGTATTTTTACCAGAAATTCTCGCTAAGCAATACAATTTAGGGCCAGTGATGCGTGAGTGCGATGTCTCAAAATACAATATCTTTGCTTTTGTTTTATGTAGCACTGCTTCTCAGTAAGCCAAATTAACTTTTTTTTTTTTTTTTGTTTTTTTTTTTACATAAGAATGTAAGTTAACTGCAATTTCCAACTTTTTCTTGCATTTTATTAAAAAATTGTGACCTGTTTTTCACAGAACAGCAAACGGTGTGAACAACAACATGAAATATTTTCAAAGTTATGGGGCTAGTGATACTTGTGTGTATACTCAAAACATTAAAAACATCTGCTGTTTGCTAAAATGGCACATTTCTGAATCCGCTTCTGGTAACAAGAGAGTATCACAAATTTATATATGGTCCTTGCTAAGTAAGGAAGATGGCTATTTTGTTATTATTTTAAAAGCCATTAAAGATTTTATTTGATCAGAATGATTAGCACAAGTTTTAATGAATTTGTGTGCAATATTTTTCCCAATGCACATTTTTATTTAATTTGTTGTATACTATATTCAGAACTTGTTGCTTGTCTCTAACTAATAAAGAAAATCTATTCTTCCAAACCTCTTTCAGAATCACTGGCATAAAATGAGGTATTTCCATCAACTTTATGGTCAGTGGTTAAACGCACTGGCAAAATTTTTAGATATCCCAGAATATTCAGTTTCAAATCATGTGAGATGTCAATTTTCCATTTTATATAAGATGATGAAATTTTGCCTATGTTTTCAAAGTTATACAGTACAAAGTCCATTATCCGGAATAATCTATAATCCGGACCTCAAAGCTACAAATTTTTTTTTTTGGTATGCTTTACGCATGCGCGTAATGTGTTTCGCGTGTGCTTTGAGAGGATGTGTCTCCAGATACATTAAAAAATGCTTGGTATAATTTATGGCGAGCTACCATATTTCATGGTGAGGGTGATGAAGATGATAGCCGCAAATTTGAAGGTTTTCGGTTATCGCAAACTAAAGGTGAAATTTTCCAGTTATTGGATTTTTTAAAGAAATGTGTATTTTGTAATAAATGAAGATGATATAACAGAAGTTTTTCATTGCGATGACAGTGCTTCAATCATCAATCAATTAACGGACGGCGAAATCTGTAGTATGGTTCTAGATCCAGAAAATACCGTTTCTGATAGTGAAGAAAGTGATAGAGAGGTTATTGAAAACCTTGACTTTGTCCATGTACACATCAAACTATGTTCACTTAAAAAAGTCAAAGGAGCAGCCAACCAAAAAATATATATAATCTCAATAAACTACATTTTAAATCGAGCAATGAAATAACATAAAAAAAGTCATCTTTGCACTACACAAAGGAAATATCCACTTATTTTATTTACGAATTAACATGTCTTCAATCAAACAAAATTCCTTAACAGCATCCCAAAACTTCCTAAAATTATCTGAACTAGAATCTGTATACTGGCATCACTACATAAATTCGCAAAAAATAAGAGTAAAAAGTATCCGTACTGCGACCTTCGACCATATGCATTTCATTTCTTCAAACAGAACACTCAATAATGGCTACTAAGTAAACTTTCATTTACACACCAGTCAAGTAATGCTTTTTTCCCCTTTCTTTCCAAATTGTACAGAAACCTCAAATTGATCTTACCACATTCAGCCATTTTACTGTCTAAACCACAAAACAAGCAATATACTTCCTAACCAACACACACACAAGCACTTACTAATTTACTGCAATCATGCAACCGATTATGTCATAATAGAGTTTCCATAACATTCAACTACTCAGGCTACCCTAAATGAAGAAACAACTTGGCGATAAAGGAAACAACTTCGCAATAATACAAGAAGTACCCTTCTCTCTACTCAAACCTCCCCCCTTTTTTAATGCTAGGTATACTAGAAAGCAAAAGGATCTTTTATTCGCAATCTTTTTTGTTTATCTATTTTAATCAATGCCTATTCCATCAAAAATTAGCCGCATGTACTTTCACGAAATCCCAACAAAATATTATTTGATCTTTCCTTAAGTCAGATTGCTACATAAGAAATTAACTTAAAATTGCTTTATTTCATATTTTCTGAGATTTAATTTAAGTGTGATTTTTTTGGTTTGTTTTCTATTTTCTTTCCTCTCCATTTTCTTAGTTTAAATATTTGTCTCTTTGCATTTTATTGATGTATCTGAAATGTTCAAGATTTTTTCATATGCCCTAATTGGTCTTTTTTTTTTTTTTTTTTGCTCTGGTTCTTTTTAATACATGTATATTGCTTGTAATATGTCACTAATTGTTATTTTAACACTTACCTATTATTTCAGGTTTTTGCATTGTATTGCAACCACCTTGGCAAAGTCTGGTGAATTTTATTATTTATATGGTTTGGCGAATTTTACAAAAGAAAAAGAACAGCTACTTTTTATGTAAACAAAATTATATATTACATACATATTTTATGTTTCAAATATACATTTCTTTAAAAACAGTCAGTAAACCTAGTTACAAATGGTGTTTTTGTTGTATTTTTGTAGCTTTTAGAAAAGATTCAAATCATTATTCATTTAGCAATTTTGCAGCAAAATACTGTATTCTCACAGAAATTTCACCTCTGTTTCTTCTATTATAGAAGAATCCTATGAGCATCAATTTCTTCTTCGCCAAGTCTTTAAGACAAAAAACAATGATAATTTTTCTGTAAGCAAAAAGAATGTATTTAAAAATGGTGATGTTGGAAACTGAATATTTGTCATGCACATGGTTGCCTTATGTGTTTGGTTAACAAAGACAGGTGTATTGCAAAACTTTGGCGACTTCTACTAAGATGGTTGTGATTAACACATAAGCACCTTATTTCATTTCATTGATAAAAATACACATAATATTCCCAAACATCATGCAAAAAAAAAAAAAAAAAAAAAAAAAAAAAAAACTTGATAAGCATTTGGAAACATCTTTTGAGCTTACAGTGAATTTCTACAGTTTTAAAGTCTGAATCTTTTTAAAATTGGAAGATATGTCCCCTAAACTCTAAGTTCCTGCTGCAGTTTAAACATAGATAGCTAATTTTGCATGCTGTGAAAGTTATTTATCTCGAATTTAAGACTAATGCTTTATTGTGCTTCTAATTTTTCGTAATTTACATGTTCTTAATGCAGGGAAAATTGTGAAAGCAGAAATACATCATAATAAATTACATGGCTATAAATTACAACATTACAGTTCAAATGCTGAAGTCTTGCTAAACTTTAGAATCGAGCATGTACGGTCACTGAAACACTCTAATCTCTAGAAATGTATCATTCATTGTATTTTAGATATCTAGGTATTCAATAAAATTGTTTCGTAAGAATAAATTACAAATTTGTCAAGTTTAGAAAATTATATTTTATTTCTAAAAAGTCATTTTCCATTTGTGTATGCTCTTTTATAAATGATTGTTTTAGATTCCTAAAAATTTAAAGTTCATTATGATATGTTTTAAAATATTGTGAATTTCAGCTTTGTGAAATAAATAACATATATTTTTATAGTACAATTCAATTTTAGGATATAAATTATATGTACTTTTTTATGTTTTGTAGGTAAAAGAAAATGCCATCTAAACCATGTACATATCCTGCTTTGGAAGGGTTGTATGTACTACACCAAACATTAGGCACAGGTATTAATTGAATTTAATGTTTACTCATAATAAATACATGCAAAAAGGATTATTCTGTATTTAAAATTCCAGGCATAACCTACAATTAAAATTATATTTGGCGTTCAACTGAAATCATATGTTTATAAAATATACAAAATGTCAAAGTAATGGAAGAGAATAAGACCTGGTGGTGCAGAGGTTTGCACGTCCCACAGCAACACCATAGGTCCAAACTTTGATCCTCGGGCTGCCCAAGGTGGACTCAGCCTTTTATCCCTTGAGTGTGTCATTAGAAGGAGTACCAAGTTTACTTGAGGACTAAACACCAGGGATCCTGTGACAAGCTGACCACTTGTCCAGGGTATATGCTCTACACTCTAGGGACAATGGTCAAGAAAGCAGATATCAGGGCACTGTAGGCCATGGATCACTAAAGGCTGTTGTGCTACTGAGTTTAGTTTTAATGGTAGAGAATAATTGTTATATTGTTCAATATTTTGGTTTTTAACATCTGTTTTAACTTTTAATGAGAGAAATAATTGTCTGAAAAAATATTTTGAAGCATGTGTATAAAATTTAATTGATGCATGTATAAGATCTTGCTATGTGAGCTAAACCATATGAGGTAGAACATTTCTAGTGTGTAACATGGTATAACCATGTTATACCTTGTAAGATAAAACAATTCTGGAAAATGTTTTCCTTAGAAGTGATTACATATTTTTGTTAGTTATTTCCTTTTAAAAGAAATGAGGTATAAATTATTGCTTTAATAACTAACTGAGCTAACTTAATGAATTGTCTTAATTTAATAACTATATAAACAATACATTTATACTCATTTTTAAATGTTTAGGACTTTTGACATGTGACTAATTTAAAATGAAATTTAAGTTGATTTAAAATGAAATTTAAATTAATTTAAATACTGTATACTTTCAAGGTACTTGTGTATTAGCACAGCCCTTGGCACAATTTGGAGACTTTGTACAAAAGAAAAAAGGAATAATTATGATTTCTAAAAATTATTTATGATTAACTTATTCACATGTTAATTATGTATTTATCTTGGAAATCAATCAATTAACCCTGCTTACAAATAGGTTTTCCTTCTTTTGTTTTGATTCAAACCAGTTGTACACGTAAGCAATTTTGTGGCAAAATTCTGTATTCTTGAAAATAATTTTTTATAATTTCTTTCAGTATAGGCAAATCTCACAAGTGCATATTTTAAAACAGTTTAAGCAACAGCAAAAGAAAAAGAAAAAAAAAGAAAAAAAAAAAAAAAAAAAACCATTCAAAAGTGCTCTTTTAAAGCATAGTATTATTTATCAGTTGAGACTATTAGTACATATGGCTCAAGTAGAATAGCAAAATATTTTATATGATACTAGATTAATGAGAACATTACATATATTCTGTATATCTGAAAATATGTAATAAATATGTATAAAAATATGTAACAATTCTATAAAAATATTTAATGTTTTTAATTAGATTTATCATGACTTAAATGCATTTTTATTGAAATCCATAAGATTAAAAAGTAAAAAAATAATGTTCTTCAGAATTTTGCTTTTAAATAGCTTAGTTTATTAATCAATAATAGATAGATTTAATTTGAAAGATTAATACCTTACATTTTGCCAAATGGCAACAAACTCGAATGAAAAGTGAAATAACACATTTATAGTGGACAACATTTAAAAAGTGAATAAAAAAGCAAAATCATGTTTTTAAACTTATGGCCCTTTTGGTCTAAAAGGGAAAATCACAATTTGTCTATAAAAACCATTTTCACAAATGAAAGCAAAAATGGCACTATTGGTTGTTAAAACTGAAGAATGAGTTTGGCTGAAGAACTGTTATAGCATGACTGCCAGAATTTGGAGCAATATTAAAATTTGGCAACTTCTGCTAAGATGGTTTTGCTAATGCCTGAGTACCAGTTTTAAGCTACGATTAAAATAGCATCTTCCGCAAAGTAAAATAATTACTGAATATAATGTTAGTATGTTATAATTTATTCATTTATTTGTAACAGTGGATTAAGAATTTGATTAAATATATAATCCATTTGAACACAGATTTGCTGTTTTATAATACAAAACTTAATATATAAGCTTTTGAAGTCCCAGCAGTTGTTAGTTGACTAATAATTAACCATATTCGAATATGATGTAATGTAATATACGGGTGTGACTGCAACCCTCCTGGCTAATAATAATCGGCCTTATAATTAGCACAGCACACCCAACACAGATAAACAAAAATACAGTTAAAAGATTAAAACAGAAATACAGTCAAAAACATAAGCCAAAATTTCCAGTATTTTTCTATTGCCATTTATAAAGTTCATCAAATCCTTTGCAAATCCAAACTCTTTATTGCGGCAGTAGAATTCCTTTATGTTACCATGTTTTTTCCTAACATGTTGCAATAATATGCAGTCTTTGATGAAATGTTGGGCATTGCCTTCACTATGAAAAACTACAAAGACTATTATTTTGTGAATTAAATCTCTTCAGGTACGCTGGGAAGCGCCTGTGTCCAGTAATTATTTGACTATAATCAGAATCACATATCATTCTGATATTTTTAGAAACTTCAAGTTCAACAAATAATCTTCCCCTTTTCCCCAAAATGTTCCATTTCTCTTTAAAGCAATCATAATAGAAATCCTTGATTTTACCAATAAGAATTCTTTTTGATGCTTAAATACCGAACACATCCCTGATATTACCCATGGCAGCCTCTTTGGCCAGCAAGCTGGCCCTCTCATTGCATATAACACCAATATGGGCTTTCACCCAGTTTTATTTTGGGAATTAAATCTCTTCAGGTACGCTTTGAAGTGCCTGTGTCCAGTAATTATTTGACTATAATCAGAATCACATATCATTCTGATATTTTTAGAAACTTTAAAGTTCAACAAATAATCTTCCCCTTTTCCCCAAAATGTTCCATTTCTCTTTCCAGCAATCATAATAGAAATCTTTGATTTTACCAATAAGAATTCTTTTTGATGCTTAAATACCAAACACATCCCTGATATTACCCATGGCAACCTCTTTGGCCAGCAAGCTGGCCTTCTCATTGCGTATAACACTAATATGGGCTTTCACCGAGTTCATTTTCACTTCTTGTATTTTATAAGAAGTGAAAATGAAACAAGATCTTTTATATATGAGACCAAAATATTGATGTTATCAACATTTGCTAGTGTTTCCAAACCAGATAATGAGTCTATATAAGTATTAATGTATGTTTTTATGATCAGGTTTTCATCAATCCATTTAAGAGTAAAGTTATAAAATCTAACTCATTGCTAATTATATGTAATTTTAGTTATATATAACATTAGCTTTAGTTTAGAAATGCCCAGTTTAAATACTGAAAGTCAAATTAGTTGATCAAAAGGTGTTGAAATTTTTATTCCCCAATCGCATTGACCAAAATATATTCAATTGATATAAGTTATTTTTTGCATCTAGAATTGCTAAATGTATTTTTTACTTATGCAAGCAAAGACATACTTCTGATTTTGAATATTCTGAAGTCTCAAACCAACAAATATTTTATAAAAATTCAATACAAGCAAATAATTTATTAATTTTTTTGGTTGTAAATGTACTTGGTCCAATCTGATATGTTCTTGCAGTATTTTAGGAATGATTCAAATAAGTCTTTATATTTAACATATCACAAAGTTGGAAATCCAGGCATCCAATATTCAGAACGATTCAATATCTAGACTTCCAAACCACTAACCAATAATAACAATATAAAAAAAGCCTTTCAAAGCCTAGAAAGATAAAATTATAATGCTCAGCAAAAGGAAACAGGTATGCTGTAAATGGTACTTTTTTCCTGATTGAGTTTCCTGTATATCACTTTCAAATACCTACTGTCTAGGGAGTTGCACCATAGCCAATGACAGTACATTAATTATTATATTGACAATAGCTGGGTTCACAATTTTGACTGTTGATTGGTTATGAGGGGTTGGCATTTTTTTATTTGATGTAAATGAAAACTTAAGTCTAGTATTCTCATGGCTACATGCCATCTTACTATATTTAAACTGATGATCTAAAATCCAGAAATATCTGGAATCGCCGATGTTCTGACGATTCCGAATTTCAGGCTTATGTGTATTATTTTCAGCTACAAATTTCCTTTTAGAATTTGGAAGAAAAAGCTTTTTTTATCCTTAGATTTCTACTCTGCTTTTAATTTGATCGAAGTTGTTTTTCCCATTAACCATTTCAATGGTTCAGCCTTTTGTATTTATTCATTAAAGGCTGTAAATGAATAGCAGTTATTATTATCTAGGTTTGTTCTTGATGCCTTGTTAAACCAAGATTACTTGCTTTAACATTTGTTTTCTTTTTTTTTTTTTTTCCATTCATTATGATAGTATTTATATCCTTAAAGAAAATGAGAAAAAATGATTTTAATAGCAAGATAATATATATAACAAAGGACAACATATTTAATGATTGGATAAAAGAAGTCCCAATGCTTAGAGGATTAATAAATTGTTGTCACTTCAATGATTAAGATTCATTATTATGAGGTTTGTACAGTGTTTAAATGTTTTTGGATTTTTGTTACTTATAAGCTTCTAATTTTGTCCAAAATTTGCAAATGATCCTTAATTTTTGGGTACTTTTCTGTTTTGCCATTGCAAACGATAAAGTTGCCAGTAATGGTACAACTGATGCCAAACGGAATATCTTTTGCTGGTAACCTTTTACACCTCAGTTTCAAAGTAAGTTGCAGCCATTTCTTATTGGATTGATTGTTTCTTTCAATACTGGCATCCGATTACATAGAATTTTTACAAGATAGTTAAATTTTATCCTTTAAGACAATTCGCAGTAATTAAGTAAATTAGAATGCAATCACACCACTCACCCAAAGGCGAAAATATAGAAAAGGCGAAATCAAGTGTTAAATTCATCAATTCTAATGAGAATGCACTAGCAAGGTAAAGCACTGCGGTTTTACATAATTTCTTTGTAAGCTACTCGTACGAATTTGAAATAATTCTTGCATTTAAACTTGTATTCCAAATTAAGATTTAACTTGAAATTTATGTAGAGAATAATCTTAGATTTCTGTAGCATAGTTTACGTGAGATGAGATCACTTGGGGTCACGTGATACGAACCGGCGAATCAGGATTTTGAACCATGAAAGCATAGTAAATTCTTAAATTAATGTCTTTTTACAAATTTATTGTCTTTATTTATTGGGTTTTTACAAAATTTTAAACCATATTAAAATGTTTATACCTTCAAAATAAAAAATTCTTAGAACTAACATTTGTTAATATTTTTCATGTGTATACTCTATGTTGTTGTCAACAAAGTGTTTGGCGAGATTTGCAGCAGTGAAATGGAAAAGTATCAATTTTTTGTGATCTGACATCTCTAGCTTGTCGACAGCTAATCAACACTGATGTAGGTCTTTCATAAACATAAATTTCTTAAAGAAACTGCTTGAAATGGGAGGGATATCAGTAGCACAATACCTAATTTATTATGGTTGGTTAATGAAATTTTCAAACTTAAGATCCAAATAAGATCATATTATCCTTTTAAAAAATGTGCATATGTCTCATAAATATTGCATTCCATCAAAATATTCTTTGTGTTTTAGGTGGTTTTGCAAAAGTAAAGCTTGCAACACATGCCTTAACTGGAGAAAAAGTTGCAATAAAGATTATGGATAAAGCTGCTTTGGGGGTAAGAATTCTTTATTTCAATGTTTTATATTAAAATATATTTAATAAATATGAAATATGGAACTGTAAAAACTGAACTTTCTTAATGTCGATAAAATTTACATTACTAATTTTGTGCATTATTCCATGCATGGAATTAGCAATATAAGAGTGTTTTCTAAGAGTAAGATTTTCATTTTGATTCTTCTAATACTTAAAAAAAAATTGTAGAATTGTTAAGTAATGCCTTGTAACTTTATATTTCATTCTAGTTGTCTTTTTACTATGTGTTAGCTCTGAAAGTTAGCTTGGAAATGGAATGCATTTATGTATTAGACTTCTAAAATTCTTTGGAATTAGACTAAGCTGGATAAGCAAGAAGTTTGAGAAAGTATAAAGAGTAGCATTTTAAAACTGTCATATAGTTTCTAACTGTTAAAAAAAAATCATATAGTTTCTAACTATGCCTGTTTTTCATCATGTCTCCCAGCAGATCGCATATCTCCTGGTTTTTAATTTTTAGCCTTTCTTAAAAGGAAACTGAGAAGGAAAATATTTTTTTGCATAAATGAAAGTTAATGAATTGATGCAACTTAAATTGTCCTAATTCCGTTTCCCCACCTCATGTGATTTTCAGCATAATTTTTCATGTTAAATTTTATTTTTCTTGAGTTGTCCCAATCTACAATCATCAGACATTTAGAACTTTTTTGAAGACTTAACCAATGCTTAATCAGATAATATTCATATTTAATTTTGCTTTCTGTCAATAAATTGTATTTCACTAAGTTTAGCTGCACAACAATATTACATTAAATGTTTTATATTCACTGTACTAAAAAGTACTTTAATGAATGAAAGCTTTTCTGACCTACTCAAGATTTTCCGCAAGGGTATAGTATTATTATTAGCGGATAATCTAATTAAATATTTTTTTGTTTTATATTAGAATAAATAGTTCAGTAATTGGGATCAGGCATTATAAAAGTGAATTTTTTTTAAATGGCATACTACACAGTGCAAAAGCCTCTCTAAAACTAGTTTTTTCTGCAAGAACTTTCAATTTTTTTTATGTACTTCTAAGTTAGCAACTATGAAATTACACTTATTCACAGCAGAATTTCAGTACAGGGTGATAATATTCGGTGACAACAATTTGAAAAGTGAAATAACGCTTATTGTGAATCGACGCAAAATGCTAAAACGAAATCTTCTGGGCAAATTGCCCCTTTTGGATTAAAAAAAAGAAAAACTTTAAAGAATAGGAAATGATTGAATAAATCTGTAAATTTAATTATGGCATGTAATGTTAACTGCTGATGGAGCCAGCAGTGCACTGTTAGCTACACTGAATGCACCATTATTATACATCCTAATTGCATATGAGTGGAAGGTAATGGCAGATTTAGCGTAGAATTCAATTTAAACAAAGTCTTACTGCTGCAGGTTTTGTAAGTAATAGCTTTATTTTTTGGTCATTTAAACATATAAAAAATTATTGAAAGTAATTTCTTTGCTGAATATGTAGTTCTTTTTTATTGTGGTGTAAAATACTTTAATGCATTTTTACCAACATACTCTTTCAGTAGGTAGTAATTTCCTAAAATATTTTTCTGTCATTAATCTCATTTTACCTCAGTTACACTTTTCCCCTGTTACTTGTACAGATTGTTACCCTAATGCTGATATTGTTATTGGTTTTTTCTCTTGTACTAATTTCCCTTGTATTAATTTTCCCTTGTTATACTTAATTTAATTTATGCTAGGATATTCTTGTTCTTTTTAGGATGATCTTCCACGAGTGCAGGTAGAAATTGAAGCAATGCAAGAATTGAATCATCCAAATATATGCAAACTCTATCAAGTTATAGAAACTGAGAAAATGTTCTTTTTAATCTTGGAGGTAAAGTACTATAAAAAAATGCTCTTTGTAGTGTTTTAGTTTTATGTGCGAGTTATTTTTTAAATACTGTATACCTCTGCCCTCTTTCATTATAAAAGGTATGCTTATTAACTATAATTCAGTGTGATAGTTATGATTTAGTAACAATAAAAAATTATCTCTGTTATTTCATTTCTATTCATTGTATTGCCTAATGCTTAGTTAAACTTCGGATTCATAACAATGCAGTGCATTAAATTATTAAAAAGATTTATTGTGTGATGACTTTCAATTTGTAATAATTTATGTAAACTCTTTCATACATTTTTAGTGATGAAAATGCTAACATCTTTCATATATAATCAATGATGTATTTTTTGCAGTACTAACATACAGGGTGGTTATAATTAAAGTTCCACTTTGAGATGGCCATAAAAGGAAAACAACCGGACCAAATATTATCAAACTTGGTAATTTTGTAAAGGAGGTCATGGGAATTTATGACTTATATATTATGGAATTTATGATTTATATAATTATTTATAATTATTTTTGGCGATTCACTGACAAATATGTATTTCACGGGTTACCGTTTGAATTGGTTTCTATTTCTGATATAAACGGTGCAATACTCAAGTTTCTGGGCAGGAAGTGAAATATAAGCATTTCAAAATGATTTCTTTTTTTCTTCTCTTAAGTAACTTTTATCTTTTGGGGATGTTAATGCTTTTATTAAACTGCTGTAAATTTGGCGACTTATCAACAATTTTGCTATTTTAAGATCAATTTCTGTACAATTTTTTTTTAAATTTGTAGATTTAAAAATTTTTTGAGTATTTTTTAAAACATTATAACATTTCATTAAATTAGAGGTAATATATTAAAATAATGCTTAAGAAATAACATTAAAAAACATTTTTATTTTTCTCTGTCATATTATAAAGTGACATTATTTTCCATTTTGGCAACTTATTATTACAATATTTTGAATCTGAAAAAAAAGCTAAGTAATAAATGCTATAAAGTGAGATTAATGAAACAATTCTTAGCAAGAGAAAAATAGCTATGCAATTATTTTAAAATGACTTCTTTTAAAAAAATTTTCATAGTAAGAATTTTCCCCCATGTAATTGTCTCAGAATATTCAAAATTCTTAGGATATGGATTAGTAGTCAATTCATTTTACACTTTTTCCCTTCTGAATTTTTTAAAAATGCTTATTGCTTTTTGCTGTTACAGAATTAGTAGGGGTAATTTTTCTTTTCGATTTTAGACATTGCACCTTGAAAAGTTTAGAAGTATTTGAAGGCAAGATTTATAGACCTACGATTCTAGAAAATTTCAGAAAAATGTGATAAAATGAAAAATGTCTTCATATATGTCTGAATGCATCATCCACAGGGCTAGCGCTAGGCATTTTCCCTCCTGATATAATTTCTGTGGGCCCTAAATTCTGCTGCCTAGTACCTTGCTAAATTCTGCTCCCAGTTATCTGCCCTAAAGTTTAAACGTTTTGCCATTTCTAGATTTTGTTGCTCTGTGCGTCACTAAATTCTAAAAATTCTGCCACACCAGCTCTGTAACTATCCCTGATCATCACTTCATATTTATTCTCAATGTTCATATTACTAAACAAATAAAATTAGAAGCTTCTTCTATATGTTCTAAATACGTGTAGTTGTTAAAATAACAGAAATCTTTAATTAAATCTAAAATGAAGATGAAATTTATTGAGGAAAGAAAGGAATACATAAAGAGACTGAAAATAATTCTTCAAAGATATGTACAGTTATTATTATGTAAATTAACCAGTTCCTCCTAATTTCAGCCTTTACTATATCTTCTCCTTTCTGTTTCTTCACCAGAAGGTAAATGGATTAGATAGTATTTAAACTTAGGTTTTGGAATTGTAAGACAGAGTGCGTTTCTGGCCTCCGCTTCATGCTGCATTAGTTCCTGTAAGCTCTGGTAATTTGTAATTAGTCAGCTTTGCATTATCACTGCCGACATTTGAATTTATTACTACGATAGAGTTGCTGAGCCAAGTTATAAAATGAGTAGTCCACATTTTAAATTTGAATTTGACTTTCCCTGTTAAGTTACACCACTACAAGCTGTAGTTGATTTTGTTAGCATAAGAACATGCATGTATATTCTATGTTCTGTTTAAATAAAAATGTTTATTTAAACCTGTATTCTAATTTGAATATTATTATACTCAGTTTATCTAAATTTTCTAATTTCAGACATGGCGATAATTTGCTTCATGTCAAGTGCAATTATGCTCTAAATTCTGTTTAAATAAAGAGGTTTATTTAAACCTTTATCTTATTTTGTAGTTACTTTTAGACATGGCGATAATTTGCTTCTCCTCTATCAGGGGTTTTGGACTATAACTTTTAACAGATCATGTGAAACCTCATAGGTTTATTTTCGAGACATTGACAAGTTAGGAGATGAAGCAAAAAATAGTAGAAATTGCATAATTGTAACAAATTTCTTATTCTTAGAAAAAGATGCTTAAAAGGGAAGCAAAATAATATGAATTAGTCAAAAAAATACTCTTAAATATTTTGTTGTGTGCTGTGTCTGCAAAACATTTTTGTTTTGTAACTTTTAATGTATAATTATCCTAATATCATTTACGTGTGTTTTAAACTGTGAAATGTTATTAGTTTGTGATTTTAATAGTGCTTTTTTAACAAATATTATTTTTAAAAAGTAAATAAAATTTAATAGTGGTCATGTAAATCTATAATACCTAAGGGTATCTAACTACCTACTTTAGCTATTTGTAATGCTCACCCTTAAATGTAATCTTTGTATGTTAAAGCAAGTTATTGGCTTTCATTAATCCTTACTGTGGCCACAAGATACAGCACAAAAATGTAAAAAAGTAATGTAAAACGTATTCCTTACAGCTAGAGAGACTTAAAATAATAAAAAACAATTTATCACCTCTGATACTACAGTGGCTTATTGGAACCTTAAAGTATATTAACTGGGTTGCTACTCTAGAACTCTATATGAAGCTATGGCACTAAATTTGTCAGACAGACAAAGCATAACTAACTTTCAAAACTTACCAACCATGTCATCATCGGGTGTCAGGTCTGTTCTGATCAGCAGGTCTCTCTGTAGGCATGCAGCAGTGGTGGTAACAGCTAGTCTTCTCTTACAGATCATGCTGATTATGATTTTACTTCTCATTTTAACCTATGCCATTTAACATAAATTCTGCCTGCTATTTACACTCTTAGATAAAAAAGGGGGACGCACCTAGAAGATATAAAGTAAGTTGGACACAAATTAATATGCATGCAGATTTCAATAGAAAATGCAAAATTTTACATTTTGGCTGCCAATAAATAAAAATTTGTTGCTACAGCGCATCTGATCTGCGCAACTGGCAGAATATTTAAGAGGAGAAATTACGATTCCAGGTCATAAATTCTTCACGAATTTCATTCCGTGTACTCTGGTAGACAGTAACTATGCCTCGCATACAGGTGCGCGAACGATATGCGCAGATGTCAGAATTTGAGAGAGAGAGGTCGTGTAGTTGGCTCAAAGAAGCCGGTTGGTCTTATCGGCGAATAGCTCGACATTTGAGCAGGAGCGATGCCACTATTAGACGATGTTGGCAGGAATGGGTGAACCATGGCCGCACACAGCGTCAAGAAGGAAGCGGTAGGCCTAGAGAAACAACAGAACGTGAAGAAACCGAGCAATCGTCAGAGCGGCACTCACAGCCCAGATGCATCATTATCATCGATTGTACGTGCAACTAGTGCTTCAGTGACCGCAAGGACCATTCATAGACGGCTCACAGAAAGGGGGCTGAGGTCACGGCGCCCCTTGCGCCGACTACCATTGACCTCTGTACAACGTCAAGCCCGTTTGCAGTGGTGTCGGGCTCATTCGCACTGGAATGTCACTGACTGGAGTAGAATAGTCTTCAGTGATGAGTCCCGCTTTGAACTGAGCCCCGATGACCAGCGAAGGCGAGTCTGGAGACGCCCCGGACAGCGGTGTGATACCAACCTGACTGTCTTCCGGCAGACAGGCCGACAACCAGGAGTGATGGTCTGGGGTGCCATTTCATTTCATAGTAGGACCCCTTTGGTTGTCATCCGTCGCAACCTTACAGCACAGCGGTACGTCGACGAAGTTCTAAGGCCCGTTGTGTTGCCCTTCATGTCACGCCACCCTGGGCTTACATTTCAGCAAGATAATGCCCTGCCCCCCACACTGCACATGTTTCTACTGCTTGCCTTAGTGCTTGCCGAACATTACCTTGGCCAGCAAGGTCGCCGGATCTCTCTTCTATTGAGCATGTTTGGAGCATTATGGGCAGGGTCCTCCAACCAGCTTGGGATGTTGACGATCTAACGCACGATTTGGACAGAATTTCACACGATATCCCTCAGGAGGACATCCGCAACTTTTATCAATCGATGCCAATCCAAATAATTGTTTGCATTAGGGGCCAGAGGTTTTAAACCCTGAATTATTTTCTCCGAGCCAAAAGTCCTTATTGACAAGCAATTTGGTTTCCGAGCAAAACACTGCACAACGCACCGGCTTCTGAGGACAGTGGAGTTCATTCACGAAGGCTTTCGTAACAAAATGCTTATTGGCGCCCTTTTTCTTGACATAGCCAAAGCATTTGATAGGACTTGGCATACGGGTATTATTATCAAGCTCATGCGACTGGGTATCCCGGCTCAACTTATTTACGTAATTAACTCTTATCTCACTAATCCTTCTTTATCAGTACGAGTTAATTCTATCATTTTGGCTCCCCGTCGAATCCTAAGTGGCGTAGCTCAAGGTAGTCTACTTGGACCGACTATATACAACATCTTTATCAACGACATTCCAAAATCACGCAGTGTTACTCTAGCATTCTATGCAGATGACACGGCCATCCTAACAAAACACAAACATTTGAATGTTCTGGTTCACAATATTCAGAGTTATCTCCATACTCTACAGCACTGGCTCATTACTTGGAAAATCGAAATTAACGTCGCTAAATGTGCTGCCATGATATTCACACGCTCCCGAATCCCGTAACCTACCATTAATATAAAGTTCTTCGATGACTATGTCCCCTGGTCAAATTCATATAATTATCTAGGAGTGATACTTGATTCCAAATTAATCTGGCGTCTTCATATTGATTATACACTCAAGCGAAGACTGTCAGAACGCAACTTTACTCCCCTATAGGCCGAAAGAGCCCTCTGTCAATCAAAAACAAAGCTCTTCTCTGTACTTCCATCATTCGACCAATATTTTTGTATGCTTGCACCATCTGGGGTACAGCGGCAAAAACACACATTAAAAACACTTCAAGGCTTTCAAAGTAAGACCCTGCGTTTAGTCTTTAATGCAGCCTATTATGTCCGTACTGATGTGATTCATTCGGATCTTAACATTAAACCCATAGACTTTGTTATTAAAAAACTTAGTCAAAATTTATTTCTCAAAATTGAACAGATTGATAACCGTGCACTTCAGTTACCGGCCTACGAATCCTGCTATTTGCAGCTCGCAGAAAATACCTCGCTCCATCATGGGACGCGAATACGGCATCTATCCTCCAGCTAAAAGGCGTAGACACCCCCCTCTGTTCTCAGTTCCAGCGCCGGGCCCATGAAGGACGTACTGCCATGTAATTGCTCTACCATTCTCCTAGTCCAGTATTACTGAAAAGTGGCCACCTCTGCGTTCTTATCAATCTGTTCACTATTTAATCACCTCATGCCCTCTGCCCTGGATATTTCATTGCGAAAATTTAATCTTTACTTCGCTGTGATTAGTGCCGTATGCCAAATGAACCTATTAACCTGTAAAATCTTTCCTTCCCGCTTTTTGCTTTAGTGCCGTATTTATGTCTTATAAAATTTAAAAAAAAATACCAATATATATATATAAAATTAAAAAACACACAAAAAAGTTTAAAATAATAAAACTTCCAAAAAAATAAAAACTTGATTTTCCTTATCCCTAAACTTTCTCGAACTAATGTAGCTCTCTCTAGTGTGCATCATGATAACCAATTATGCAATTTTCCTATTTCTGCTCGCTACTTAGATATTTTTCTAATGTGTAGGTACATGGTTTTGAACCATAGACACTCCGTAACTTATAATCATTGGCATTCTTCTCTTCGCTCGTCTCTTCTGCTGCGTTGTTAGCTACGCAAAGTTTACTGTCTTAAATTTGTCCATTGTTTAAGATGTAAGCTGAACAAAATAAGGAGGTGCATAGTGCCCCCACAGTGATAATGTGCATTGTCATTCAGGAATAAACTTATGCGCCGAATTGACCGTTATGTCTGTTCTTAGAGTGTCGTCTTGCTAACTACGCAGCAAAGTCTTCGAGTTATGATGCAGTCCTTTCCAACACCAATCCGTTGCAACTTTACTCTCACCAAGTCATCTTATTACAACAATAATGCAGTTTTATCAGATATATATATTTATATATATACATATAATTTTTGTAAACAAAATGAGGAGAAAAACTTTAAAATTGATGAATTTTAAAATATATTTATAAAGGGTATTTATGAACTGGTAAGGCAGTGACTCAAAATTTCTTTAACTGCTAGAGAAACATGGAACTGCATCTGGCAGCAGAACAACTCAAATCTTCTTTTTTTAATGCCATTTTTCAAACCTTACAAAAAGAATGTTTTTATCTTTAAAAATAAAACACAAAGTATTGAGTTGGAAAATAAAATCACTCTCATCAAACTTTGTGTTATTCTTTTTAAAATGAGAATTCAAAATTAAATATATAACAAATATTTTCAAAAATGCAGTTTTGTAGAAAGACAAGAAAATGTGAAGATATTGCATGATATTGTCATTTAATGAAGAAAAGAAAAATTGAAGAGCTATTTGTTTAATGATATTTGCAATGAATTGTCTCACTCAAATCAATAAAACAAATCGAAAAATAATTCGAATGCACACGCAGTCTTTAATATTTATAATCAAATGCATGTTAAAATATTTACAAGTACATCGGTTCTAAGCAAAACATTTACAGAATTGCGTTTCCTGGGACAAAACAACAAAGTAAGACTGTATACGATGAGTTTGATTTCAATGCATTGAATAACTCTCTAGGTTTATTGCGAAATTTTTATTAATTCCACAGACGCACAGATGTATCGATAGTCATAAAATTTATTTCAAAATGTTATTCGTAAATGGAGATTCTTTTTTTTTATGTGTGCGTGTGTTGTCAAAAAAATATTTATTCATTAATTTATGTATTGGTTCTGAAAATGTTATGACATCTATCGCTGTGAATTGCCTAAATATTTTTACTGCTTTTAGTAATTGGTATTCCAGTAGCATATCTTACATATCATTTGCTGTAGTTTCTTTATTGATTAAATGCAATGAATCCAAAGTTATACTTTTTGGCTGAGTTTAAGATGAACAGCTGAAAGTTATAACCTTTTTATGAGCAACAAGGCACAAAAAATATATATTTAGATATCATTAACAGAACTTAATTAATTATTTGGATAGAAGTTGTTCTTATGTACAGAACTACTGAGTTCGTAGCAAGCATTAATATAGTTAATTTGCTCTGCTTCCATTGGATTTCAGAACTGCAATTGACTTGTGACACTCGATTTAAAAACTCAACCCATCATAATGAATCATAAGAAAATGTTCATCAATTTTCTATGCCATATAAAGAACATTTGGTAAATTTTCGTTTTCGCCGATTCCTAGAGCGTTGTTATAATGCGAGTCGATTATAATTTGTTATGGAATTTCTTCAAAGAGGTATCTTTAACAATTATATCAAATCCAACGTATAAGTATTAAAGATCAGGTCATTTAATTATATTCGCCCAAAGAAATTAAGGTGAATCAATAAATAAATAAAAATTTTTGATTTATTTTTCCATTGCATCTCAATTAATCAAGCACTTTACAGACCAAAGTGATAAACTCCGCTTTTTGAATATTTTCAGATTTTCGTGCCAAAGCATTTAACCAATGCTTAAAATTTAACAAAATTTTCCGATAATTGCGTTTTGCCCAACTAAATAATTGTTGAACAAATTTACTTTTTCTCAAAAAAACAGTGTGGTTAAATTAGAAACTGACTTTTTTATACTCTATCCCCCCCCCCAACAAAAGAAACGGCATTGATAATCTTGAGCAAGGATGGCAGAAAGGAATCATTTGGTTAGAATCAGATAGTTCATAATCTTCAAGGCTCAAGATATATTTCTTTGATTCAGTAATTAACTATAATAATCAAATATTACAAAACATTACGTGATTGACGGAAATGAAGTCGTAATCTTGTAAATTCGGCTAGACGTATTTGAGCTAAATTTGGATAGCTAAATTTGACTACCTAAATTTGGCTAGAAGTATTTAGGAGATAAAACGTCGAATTTAAGATAAGCAGCAGAAATTCTTGATTAATAACGGAAATGTGTTGAAAAAAATCAGTTCTAACGAAGGATTCTGTGAGTAAGAAGATCAATTTAAACAAAATAATTTTGTTGCAGGTTACATTTAAGTTATGGCAACAAAAAGACGTCTAAAGGAAGCAGTTAAACCTAAGATAATATTCCTTCAAATGATTATTCAGTTAAATGGTCAAATATTACTCTTGATTTCAAAAACATATTGCCAGGAATTTTGTGCATAGATAGATGATTTTAGTGCAGTTATATGTGAAACTGTTGTATTTTTTTTGGATAATGTAAGGTGAATGGCACGCATGCGAAACGTGAGACATGAAAAAATTTTCAGTAACACGCTGAATTAATGTGATTATGACCCATTAAAAATTCAATTTTTTATTAAATGGAAGAATTTTCTGTGTTTATATTGTAAAAATATTCCTGTGTTACATCCCTCTAAAATGAAAGCTGTGAAGCTTTAGAAATGCAGTGATGTGAGAGTCAAATTAAGTGAAATGAAATTCCTGCCCCACTCACACATTTTATGAACGAAACTCTCATTTTTGTTAGGCCTCAACTTCGAACCTAAAAATGTAGCTGGATGCAATCAGATCTTCTTTGCCCTCTAAGGACCAAGAAATCAAATTGACTAAGATACAAATACTTTGCATACGTTTTAGAAATTACTGCTAGCTGGCAAAATCAAAGATTCATTTTTTTTTTTTAATGTTAAGCCGTAATTTTTAAAAAAACTATGTGGATAGAGCTCATTTTGCAGCAATGTGCCACAAACAAATGTTGCAAACGTGCCACGAACAGTAATTACAATATCCGATATTTTATTCCATTTGCGTGCTGATATCCAGAGTTTCAAATACAATGAGCTATCCGGAAATTCATTACTCATGAACCTCAACTTGCTTCACATTTCTAAGACCTATTTGGATAATGACCTTTTATTTCATCCAGAGGAAAATAATTACTATTTTTTTTTCCTTTAAAAAAGAGAACGAAAGCTCCGTATGATTTAAAAATGTTTTCCTTTATTAAATAAATAATATGTTATTATTTAATAGTAATAAGAGTTATAGAATTATGAAAAATAATCGCAATTATAGCAAAATTAAAAAATAGCATTGAAAAATATCTGAATTTTAAAAATTTTATTTGATATTAGCGGATGATTTAATTTTCGTAAAAGGTTAGAAAATCAACTAAAATTTATGAAAATTATCGCGGAAACTTCCGCTGCAATAAGGTTACTATACTCTGCTTATCAGATATAATGCCCGATGCATATTGCCCAATTAAGCGCTCAAATCATTTTACATATTGTCCGGGCTTTATGTATAAAGACCTCATTAATAGATAATTAAAATCTATCGATAATCTACATAAGAAGTATACTTCTAAAAGTGAATCAATTTCGAGTTTAGTTGACTTGCAGCTTCGAATTGTGGCATAGTTCTTGTTTTCTCCACTAGAGTTGTCGCAACTTCAATGTGTCGAACATTGCTTATAAATCTAAGTGGTCAAGCATTGCTATTTGACAAATGGAAATAAATATCTCCTTAAACAATGAAGCAATTTAAACACGTCAGTAGTTATGACAGTGTGTTTTAGGGAAACTGTTTCTCTCTCACGCTGAAGCCTTCTAGTAGTCTGACTAGCAATTCGGTGAGCTCACTGTATTTCGGGAAACAGGGGGATGGGAGATTACGTCTATTTTTAATCCACACGCATACTCACTAAACTTGATATTCGCGTGTTTAAGCAGCGCGACATTTCGCCTTGCTATCGCCTACTGTGATGACATCAAATTTTCTTATTGTGAGCTAAACAAATATTTTATTTTATTGTTCACCTCTTTGTTCAAAAGAATGGCAGTTCTCTACATCCAAAAAGAATGCTTGCTGATTTTATTCTGTGGATTACACTTAGTATGTAAGTACTGAACCTATCGGTACATTAAATTACGTGTCTGTTTAAAAAATGGCCCAGCTTTCTTGGCGCAACGAGCAAAGCATTTGCGGTTTGAGACTTTTTAACTAACAACAATACAGGCTTGTATAACAATAGCAGGCATGTTTAAGCAGTTAAACCAAATTCCGCTTTCAGGGGAATGCTCTTTCTCTTTATCGCAGCTGCGCAAAACAAAAGGAAACTTTTCTACAGTAAAAAATTTTAGATACTGAGCATAGTCTTTCTTAGTTTGAATAAAAATAAAATAGGTGCAATAAATATCCCTAAAATAAAAGTTATATAAATGGTACTGTATAGAAATCCAATAGTGAATATTGACTTATACATATTGTTTCACTGATCTTCATAATAGTGCATTTATGTATATTACTTTATGTATATCACAATAACAGACATGTTTAAACTTTATGGCATTTAGATAAACCTGTGTTTCGTTTTTATATTAATTTAACATGCTACTAGTAGTTTCGCTGCAAAAATAAATAAATAAATAAATAAAATTTAAAAAATAAAAATAAAATAAATAAATAAATAAATAAAATTAAGTATTGTTGGTATTGTTTTCGCCGCTGCTTAAATTATGTGTATAAAATGTAATGTATTAAAAATTATAATTTTTTAGAACTTTTTGTAGGTTATAAAAAATTATAACTTTTTGTAGGTTTGTGTTTTTGTAACACGGGTAAAATGGCGTATAGTGTATAGGCTTGTTTTACCAGCAAGATCCTTAAGCTCCTAGAAATAAAAATGATGAAGAATAAAAATGTTGCTGATATGAGACAATTTGTTCGATGTATATTTAAGTTACAAGAAGAATAAAAGTTAAATTAGAGTGTATTCGATACCATTTGAATTACAAATAGTATACTCTCAGTATTGCTCTGAGCCAGATTTACATGCAGGATATAGTTACTGGATAGCTGCAATTTTCCTCATATTTCAGGTAGATTTTGAACCCGTTCCGTTAATGAAATCTTTATTCATTTTCTACTGAAATTATTTAAATTTAAATGAAAAAAAAAATTACCTTCGGCGAATTAGGTATTTCTCATAACATTAACAACCACAAAATCTTGTTAGCTTTAAATAACGATTTTAATGGCAGATTTTAGCGTGTTTTTCCTTTTAAACAACCGTTTCATTTTCTGCTTTAATGTATTATCAAATACCATTTGGATTGGTTTGGTGTATCAAAAACTTTGTACTTGCTTCGACAAATTTTAATAGTGTATAAGAAAAAGCAAAAGCTCTTTTGAAACATTGGTAACCTTATCTCATATTGGAATAAATACCGATATGATACTAAAAATCATTATTCATCATTTGTTTCCCTTTCCTTCATAAGGACACAAAGCGTATTTTGATATGTTAGATTTCTATACAGGAAAACGAAAGGATTTTCTGCGACTTTTAAGAAACATTTCTGTTTGAAAGCTATATTTTGTTTGTCAAAAAACTTTTTAAATATATGTATTTTTTACCCCTCGAATATAGAAACTGAATTCCGAATTTCTGGATATCCATTTTGCAAATTTTTCTGACCTCCTTGGTGTCAGTATATATAGTGGTAATATAATCTCCATGACGAGAGGAATAGAATTTGGCACAGAAGTGAGAATTACCTGGAACAAAACTTTTGTTCAATAAAAGCAATATTAAAAACTATTCCGTTTCTTTTTAATTTGTTATAGAAATCGATAATGTATTTCGATAATCTCTATCTGTCTTCTTTATTGGAAAATTTCTAAAACTGTTCTGGTCTCGTATTGCCTAACCCATAACATGTGTTTCTTGTTTTCCATTTCCGAAGGCAGTTTGTCAGAAATTACCGGCAGCAGTTGCGTATCGTTTAGATACCTAACTTGCATTTCATTCTCTAAAACAGAAAACAGTATTCTTAACTTCTTTCTCACACTGTATTAAATGGTCGTCATCATTATTTCGGTGGAGAAGAATATTCTAACCGTTTTAGGAAAATCGCTTTGGGTAAATGTTTTCAGCAATTTTAATAATGCCAAAATTAAAAAAAAAAACTATAATAATGTTTACATTGCTTACGTTATTGAACATACAGTTCTTTTAACTCGTATCGAGAACTTAATTCAGCATAATCCATAGCTGGACATCTGGCAAAAGATGTGTTTGAAAGAACCGAAATAATTTGATACAAAAGGACAGATGAGAGGAGAAAGATACAGCAAAGTGGCAATATGCCTATGAAATTAGAAACTTAATGTTAGGCATAAGAATAACAATACTAAGAGGGATGCTCAAAAGGAGGTTAGTATGCAGAAAGCAGTATAATAAATGATGATTAAAATTTCAAAAAAAAAAAAAAAAAAAAAAGGTTGAAAAAAAATCTGAAAGTTTTCAGATTTCATATAACTGAGACATGTTGGACATGCATAGTACCAAGATCATTATTATGCTGAACATCTGCCTCTAAAAAGTTTTTCACAATAAGATAATTTTTTAAACATCGTTTTAACTGTGTGAATAGAAAAGATATGTAAATATAAAATCTAATCTTTCATTTGAAGTCTGCAAGCAAAACAAACTTATGTAAAATATTCATAATGTTTTAATAAATTAACGTTTCTTCCCTTTATGCGCAAATTTTGCTATTATTTGAGAACAAATTTACCGATTTAATTCATTTCTGAATGTTTATTAAATCCAAGAAGAATTCCCCCCCTTCAGTACCGAAAAAAATGTTTTTCGTTTTGGTAGGTAGTAGAAGAGCACTGGGTAAAACATAACTCTAATGAAGTTTATAACTGCTCCAGTGGAAATATCAATTGCTCATATATCTGCAAATTTTATATGTGAAGACATAGAATACTTTACATGTGTTACAACTTAATAAAACGTAACAAATATTTTACTAACTGGAATTTTTTCTTTTCGAGAACCATATAAGGATCATCTTCTACCTTTATTGAAACCCTATTACTCACAATATGAAGACTTTTCCTTCATAAAATGTTCTATTTTATTTTGAGAAATTTTGGAGCTGAAGGGTATGTCTGGAAACAATATTTGAGGAACTAAAACGATACGCTACCTTTTTCTACATCGTGGACACTAACGCCTATAATGTTTAAAAAGTGTTCACACTGAAATGTAACATAAATGTTCCATCTATTCTTCTGCCACAATATTCCGCCGAGGTAAAAGCTTTAATCTTTATATTTGTACCACTTTCCAACAGCACTTAAGACTGTATCACCTCAAAAAAGTGTTTTCTACATAGTTCCTACTTCAATTTTGGTAATTGCTTCTACACTAGTTGACTAGGTCAAATAATTAATTATGAACTAAGATTTCATGTTGTGTCACTACGAAACATGCCGCAAAATTTTATCTGCCTAATTTTAACTAATTTTGCTACAAACAGGTTCATCAGTTGCCATTTTTTCTTGTATTTTTGAATCCTAATTTATATGGACTATAGTAAACATACAAAGCATAAAATATATTGCTTTCATCGTTAAGCTCACTAATTATCAGCCCACCGTTTAGCCCAGAGGTTTTCAAACATTTTAAATATTGTACCTCATAAATAAGAATAAGCAAGTAATATAATAAAATTAAGTCAATTCCTAGTTAGGTCAGGAAAGAAAAATATTTTAATTAAAATTTTTTTAATATGTGAAAAAACTTTATTAACATCAAGTGTCCTCCACTACAAGTTTAAAAAAATGTGTTTGAACTTGAGTGGATGAATAAAAAGTATTTTATTAACGATTGAAAATTTGAACAAAATATAGGAAGAGTGTGAGCTAATAGTAGGAATTTAAAAATACCTGAATCATTATAAAAGCATTTTTTGATTAGAGATCAATGTATCTTAAATGGAGTGTTTGAAATCAAAGAGTAAAACATTTTAAATTTATTCTATTCAAATATATTAGTAAATGAAATTTTTATGTTAAAATAAAATATAAATACACTATATATGTATATTATGTGTATGTGAATAGTGAATAATAATTCATAAGAGTAAACATTAAGCTTTATGATTGATGAGGATTAATGCAACAAATGAACTGTAAAGTCTATGTCTTTTTGGGAGTATAAACTATAGACTTTAAAAGGACTATTGAAGAATTATATTCTAACCTTGTTAAACAAAACAAAATCAGAAGAAGGGTATATAAGACCCTTTTATTCGGACACTGCAAATGTCCCATTTAGCTTGGGTTTATATAAGCCAAGCAATTCTGGATTAACAGAAATACGTAACAAATAACAATTTTAAGGTGTGGTGACGGCTCACAGAATACTTTAATGTGCAGAAAAGGCTCTGGTTTGTAGTAAACCGGCGAGACAAAGCTAAATGGCTAGAAACACTCAACACCGCTAACTCAGGTCGCTAATAATCACAGCACAATGTGGCCTGGAATAGGCAGACACGCTCTAAAACTAACTTCTGAAACTCTTGCTTAAACAACACTTTAATCTAAGTAAACTCTCGCTATCTCATTTACATTCTGGCATGAAAAACGTGGGTGAAAAGAGAGTAATAGGAGAGTAGTCAAATTTAAAATGAACTGTTATTTAAAAATAAATAGATAAACCACACAGAACCTGTTTCATAGTAACCACTTTCGATATGTCTGAGTTTATCTTCCTTAATTCAAGCGTTACTCTTCAGATTTGCAGCCGTTTTGTTTTTAATTAATAGTATAACTGAATACAATAATGTCGCAAAGATATTGTATGTTGAAAAGATTTTTTTTTAACTTTATAGAAAAGATACTTATGTTCATGCCTTCTTTTTAACCAAAAATTACATAAGATATCTTTCTTGAATTAATTCATGAAATTTATGTCACATGAAATTTCTAAAAGCTGATTTTCTTGAACTGGAACATTTACTAGAAGGGTATTCGAAATAAAAAACATATCTCTTATCCGACATTTTCTAAATTTTCAGTAAGGTTGGAAGGAAAATTGTT